GAATTAAATAAAGAAAAAGAAAAGAATTAAGATGCTATTAGATGCTCGAAAAGATACAGGCTGATCTTGAGGTCACAATCGCGTGACCCAATTGTAAGAGAGTCTTTTTGAAGATAGGCGCTAAACAGACACGTAGAACATTCCTCTGAATCTTGGAGGTCTGAGAAGGTCCGGGATCTGGATGACGAAGCTCCATATATAATTACAAAATTACGTGTCCCAACCGCGTGGAAGTAAGATTTTTCGGAACTGGTTACAGTGGCACCACGCACGTCGGGCTTCTCTCATCGACGGTGAAAGTTGCCCGACGAGAAAGTGTGCCTTTCTTCTTCCGTTCACTGATTCACGTCGCCCCGATACGTCGAGGAGAGGACGATTATTTATCCCTCATTGACTCGAAGACAAATAGTAAGAACGAGAAATCCCGGTCGTAAATGATGTCCCTTGAATTCTGATAAACAAATTTTATAAAAATATCGTCGTCCTATTGATGAATAAAATCGATGACGTTCCGTAATATTTGCTTTCGCTCTAATCGGAAATTAGAAAATCCACAGAGGTGCGGGACAGTTGAGAGCTCGATGAAATCCCGAGATTTTGTTGCTCCATCATCATTGACTTGCAAAAAAAGAGAGATAAAGAAAATTGTGTTGAATTTTGCCTTTCTGCAACAAGAGGAAATCTCCGAACGACTTATCATCGCATGCGGGATCAATGTCCTTTTATCCCCAGCTGCAAGCGTTACAAGGACGCCCCGATTACGTGCATCAGAATTATTTCAATATCTCGCGCAACATGCGGGTCGATTGTTGCATCGCAGTTGCACAATTATATTCGTCACTACAATCTTTAGATTGTCCTAGAGTTACTTTTCAATTTTTTGTCCTATAAACAGATAGCTAAATTGCCAAATACAATTTTAAGTCACAACGCGACGTCCAGAGACAACGCGAAGACTTCTCGCGAAGATTTCCCATCGTTGATGCAGCGCGCGATTCCGATTTGCATCCTTGCATCGGCTAGCTTTTCGCCGTTTCACCGTGCCGGTCAACCGGTAGTGAAAATGTGAAAACACGAAAAGCAAAAAGAGCCCGAGCTAGCTCGGGACTGAGAAAACTGAGTTTTCCTCGAAAAAGATGTCAAGAACTTATGTATTAATTATTAATTAGTAAAGAATTTTACAAGAACAATAAAATATTAAAACCATTATGAATATCAATTTTATCATGTTTAACAGAGTAATTTAATAGAAATAATATACGATACTCATAACTTACTAATTAATATTGGATCATTGATTTCTCCGAGTCGAAAATATTTCGTTCTACATCTTGTATACGCATATCAGTCTTTAATTACTTTTGGAATGATGAAATCATGCTCTATACTACTCTGACAAAATTATGTTCTATGTTAATTTTATCATTTCATAATAGACCGACAAAATTTTGTTTGAAGTTCAATTACAAAAATACGCAATGCTGATAGAGATATTAGAAATTGGATAGATACGACACGAGTGGTCACCCCGACGACCACTTTTCCGTCGAGGAAAAATCGTCCTCGATTTGGCTGAAGAAGCCAAGGATCTCGGGAATATCTAAATTTATAGCATTCCGCATGTAAGTCGTAAAGACATTATTTCGCCGCTTTTAGACACATTTCGGCTGAATAATTCCGTGACGAGAAGAAAGGCGCGGCTTCTTCCGAGGCTTCGAGAATCCTCTTTGTATAGCAGCCGCGTATAATGCGTATTTGCGTGTGTGTGTGTGTGTGTGTGTGTACGTGCGTATATGGAGGATATATACCCACGCACATTAACCCAGATATGCCGAACGGCGTGTGCGTGCGTGATATATACGCTATACAAAATCCCGCGATTTTATTTGCGACACCGCGTGATGTAGAAGGAAGGAAGGAGACCACGTCCGATTGTATGCCGGCATTTAAATCCCTGAATGACAAGCCCGTCGCGTTCGCGACGTGATCCTTACTCAGGTAATTCTCTTCTAAAAACACAAAGTGCAAAGTTTTTCACTTTAGAAAAGTCATGTTTTAAAATGTACAAAAGCACGTGCATATGCAAAAAATTTAATTTTCATATAATTATTTATTTTCAAACGTCACAAAGATATATCTTCTACCAGATTTTAGTTAAAAAGGAATGAACGAGAATTTTTCTCTAGTCTAGACTTCTCTGTAAAAGACTATAAATTTCGTAGGGAAATCTCGAAAAATCTCTCGAGTCATGTAAATTAGAATCGATTAACGATCGTCTAGATTAGGATTCATTAACACTTATAACGACATAAAACAATGCGGCTTTCGTGTGACCGGTTGCGACAACTGATGTTTTCACAAGTTCACGAATCTGTGTCGCGAACTTAATGAGATACGAATCGTGTGAGGATCGCGCTATCATTAGCAACATAGACCGAGATTAGTGTGTCAATGCAGCAGATTCCACGGGAATTCGAATCTCGATCGTCGGACAGATAGAAGCGGCAGTTGTTTGCTATAAGTGGCAATTAATTCGCGGAATTAATTAATTCACGGACGCCCCATTAGCACACACAATCGTCGTTGCGATCCTACCGCCGATTAATGAGAAAACCGAAGCTGCGCGGAGCTTCATTTTCCCAGTAGGTCACCGGGATTCTATATCGTTAGACAATCGGCGGCGAACTCTAATCCGAGAAAGTGAGAATCAGACTGTACACGAGACGCGGGGAATTTACGAACGGTGCGTAATTGAGGCCACCTTCGATCCGCGAGACGCGTCCGCGTTATTAAAGCAAATTAGAATGGAGCCGCTCCGATCACCGGACCTTAGCGAAGGAGGCTGCAAGAATCTTATGCTCCGAAAATCAATTCCAAATAAATAAAAAAGAAACAACTCGTTTCTCTGGAGGATTACATGTCTTCCGCACTTAAGTCTCTTTCGCGTCAAAGATTCTCAATTACTATTTCTCGCGCAATCGTACCTGACCATTCAATAGCGGCTTCAGCGTCAGACGTGTAATACACTTTCGCGGACTTATTTACGCATGTTACACGCATAATTTTTTTATATCGTCGAACCGAAAGTAATGGATAAAGCTTAGAAAGCGGTTCCAAAGATGCGCGCGCTACCGAGAAGGTATGCAAATAGATCGCTTTCTTGCCATTAAACGCATGCCGATTCACTCCGTTTTCACTTTTGAAATTTAATACATGTCAGAAGTCACACTCGGATGTATTAATAATATCCGCCGTTACTGTTGCGTGACGCTCTATCGTTGATTCGTTCGAGCGGAACCTGATGACAGGCGCCTCACGATAATCCGACACGTTCATCTTTCCGCACCCTTACGTAAAATTTTGAATATTCCCTCGGAGGATCGTAAAAGGATCTCACTTACTCAGGACCGCTGACGACGACATCTCCGTTCGAGGGAAGAGGGAATACTTATCCCGCGGACATCCCCAGCATTTATTGTCACAACGTCGCGGACGGTACTCACGTGACACCCGGGGCACAAGAGACGCGGCGCCGAACTATTTTAGCTAAGAATTGTCGTGCGAGAATGTCGAGAAGTTATGCATGATGCGTCGAGAGCGGCGAGAGACACAGAAAGAGAGAGAGAGAGAGAGAGAGAGAGAGAGAGAGGAGAGAGAGAGAGAGAGAGAGAGAGAGAGAGAGAGAGAGAGAGAGAGAGAGAGAGAGAGAGAGAGAGAGAGAGAGAGAGAGAGAGAGAGAGAGAGAGAGAGAGGAGAAAGAAGATTGGCAAAGGAAAGAAGCGTGCAATCGCGGCTGCACAGGACAGACGGATAGGCCCGGGCACGACGACTGTCCGTGAAAAGACCTCGACACACTTTACTCTCAACGGAAGATCACGACCGACCGACCGACCGAGCGACCGAGCGACCGACGACCGGCTTGCTCGCTCACTCTCTCCCGTTCTTCCTCCTTCTTTCTCCGAGATGCCGTCCGTAGTCTCCTCAAGGGAAAGTGGTCCTCCTTCTACCACCTTCCACATCGCCGATACTCCGCCTTTCGACGACGATTCGTCACGTGCAGGAATGCTCCCGCACATCAACAAGTCTTCTCTCAGGTGCAGGTCATCGGATCGTACACGAGAGATGTGTCTTCGTCTTTTTAAACGCTGGAGAAAAGAAGTGAGCGAGTCTTAGTGTTACCTTTATTTATTTACGTTACTGCGATAGTTTCCGTTACATCGAGTTCCCGCGTTTCGCTGTATAAAGTAGGCTTAGTTTACAGCGTTATTCAACACATACAATTCATCTTTTGTGATCCCGGAATCCGATATACAGACCGACTATATTCTGACGAAGAGAAATACAATGATTCTCTTCAAGAAATACAAGAAAATTATGCACATATTTTTTATCATTGTTCGTTATTACATCCTAATAAAACAAATTCATTAAAATAAACAGGTGTACTTATAGCCTCTACGTCCCTTGCGTTTGTCAATTGCAGATAATTAATCAATGGCCAGCTAATCAATATTCATAAAACAAGCGAATAACGCGCAATTTACAAACTGACGATAGGAAAGTAAATCTTTTACTTTAAAGGTACGCTTTAGTGAAATCTATTAACACATGTACAAAATTTCGTTAGATACAAAGATTTAGAAAATGTGTCGCGTATCATGCTAAATGGACACATATAGAAGAGAAATGATAAAGAGCACGTACAAATGCCAATTGACAAATATTTTCTTTGTGAACATGCACAATAAGAACTTTATATAAAATTATCAATTCGTTCGATTGCAGCAAAACATGATATCGAGAAAATACGTAGGTGATTTGTTAAGCAAATCTGGTGCGCAAACAAGAGATATTATTGATAAATAAATTTTCTATACTTTCAAGACTGAACGCTGCAATTCATATTTAATAATCAGCAATTCATCACAATTTATGTCGCGTTAAATTATTATCCTGTAATTGTCGAGTTTTGAAAATCCCGCGAATGTTTTGGTTACTTGAATGAATGTTCGTGATTGCGAAAATTCGCGCAGTCCGATAATCAATATTTTCTCATGGGCATGGATGATTTGTACGCCTCGAATCGTTCATACGATGGTGCTGTTCCGGGCGCGGTCAATCCCATGGATTGCATTGGTCCGCTCTGATATGTCGGCGGAATAGGATGCCGCAATGTATTTCCCATGCTACTCGAATTGCTCCATCTGCAATATGTATTTAGTTATCGTGGATGGAACATCTCGTTGAGTCTTGCGATCGTATCGTGAGTAAAAAATATCACACCTGTTAAAAGTCACGCTTGTGAATTAAATAATATACCTGTTAACGCTATCGGACGATCTAGAACTCCAGCTAGAAGGCTCACCGCGAGGATCGCGAGATCCGCTGCTCGTCACTGAATTAAAGGACTTGGAAGATGTAGGTCCTGAATGCCAACCGCTAGGTGTACGATTGCTTTCCACATAACGACTTTCACCTGCGTATAACAATAGCATGCAGGAGTGAATAAAGACGATATATATGTATATATTTGCAACACGTATCTATCTCTTTCTCTTGCGTAGAATATGCAAAAATCATTGAAATATAATCAATAAGAATAAAGTTATATAACTTTATTTAAATGTAATCAAAAGTTTCGTTATATTCAATTCTGCACTCATATTGCTTGGTATGCTTTATAATAAAAGTATGTTTATCACGCTTGTACAAACATCGAAAGTACATTTGTCGCGTGTTCGAATATCGCACAGCGATTATTTGATGGATTAGAGAAATCTTTGTATAAACATCTTTGTAGACGGCTTTCATAATCCATTCATTGAATCATAAGACTGATAACAGGTTCAACTAACTACAATGAAAACTCAACAGAAATTATATAAATTTTTATTATGAAGCATACACATTTATAAAAGAGAATACAGATTAGATTTGGAATAAGATAATATTTTTTTTTACAAGAGATATTTAGTGTGATAATAATATATAAAAAATATCAAACTAAAATACTTAAAAATTAAGAAACTTGAATCAGTACTCAATCATTAGACAGATAAACTTTCCTAATTTGAAGTCATTATAATCGCGAGCAGTCCTATTTTTAATTTCTTTTTGTATGTATACATGTTTGACATATCAACATATTATTTCTTTACAGTAATAATTAAATAAAATTATTGTAATTTTTATTTTTAAAGGAAAAATTTACTTTTTTCATAATAAGTTTCGCTCTAATTTTTGATAACAAACATATACTTTAACATAAATTTATATAAATTCAATAAACAAATTTTAACGCAATTTGCTTTAACTTCTAAATAATAATGACTAATTAATAGTAATAATAGTTATATTGGTTTAGCAAAAAAATCTGTTAATAAAAATTAAAATGCTAAACCAAAGATGAGACAAAAAGGAATAACTACATGCATATATCAATACGTGAAATGATTCAAAACTTTTCAATAAACAAATAAAACTTTATTACATTAAGTTTATTTGTTTTGACTTGATCATAATTAACACGTATTAATGTGTATCACTAGATAAACTATTTCTATCTTTTAAAAATGTTTGGCACTTTAAAACATGATCTGTGTGTAACATCGCTTTTATTTTTTCATGTATATTCTATTATTTTCGTATATTTTTTTAGAAATATATCATAAATTACAAAATATATAATATTACAATAAAATCCATCTATCAAAATTATCAATATTATTTACGCAAAAGATATGTAAACACAAAAAATTTCTTTAAACTGCCATTTATCTAATTTTATCAAATATCAAAATTCTTATTAAATGCAATAAAATTAAATTTTAGATTTCTTTGACACATAAATTCATTCAGGTTAAAAATTTCGTTGAATCTTCGAGGTTATTTTGAGCGCATATTTTTCATCGCTTTATATTTTTATGTTGAAAGATAATTTAAATAGTGCACTATCTAATATTTTATATTATTAATTATATATTATGCCATAATTTTAAATCATGGATATTAACTGAAGTTAAATTTATATGTATGATACCAGATCGCGTGTACACAACCTCTCCTCTGTCAGAAATGTTTCATGAAGATGTTTTGGCTATTGTATTGCATCCTTATTTAAAGTAATGCTTATATCCTGTGTACAAAATTAAAGAATAACCATCTAGAGAAATGGCTCAGTGATATTAATTATAAAAATTGAAAACAGCGATAAAAAGTCGGAGTGCTGTGCACTAAAACCACTTGTACATATACAATTTATCATACTTACGTGGTGTGCTAGATCCTGGTGGTTTGAAACTATCACTGTATCGCGTATGAGTATCCCTAGAACTTCGATGTGTCTCGGGTTCGGAACGTCGTACTTCACGTTCGCGAGTATAAGATGTAGTATTTGGACGATCATATCTATGCAAGTTCAAACAAAAAAATTAGTTTTGGTTGGAATATGATTATTATAACTTGACAATTTGGGAATACAATATGTACCTTTCCTTGACTTGTCGTGGATCTAATGACGAGGATGTAGTAGACAGACTTTCTCGCCGTACGATAACTTCTCTTCCTCGAGAAACGTCAGAAAAGCTTTCTGGTCGACTATTTCTCGAAGAAAAATCACTACTTCGCTTGAATTCTTTTTTCAACCCTATATCTTGAGTAGATCTAAAATAAATTTGATGCTATTAATAATATGATTAACGATATCGATTAAATACAGTGAAACATAAAGCAGTTAAAGAGATTCACATGTACTATAAAAATAACATTTTAACATATCTTTAATAAAAGAAAATTATTGAAAAATTTACCTGCTAGATTCATATCGAGATGGTGGCGAAATGTCCATTCGTCTATCTGATACTCGATCCAGCATCTCAGTTCGTCTATCAACGATTCTTTCTGGACTATGTCTACGGCTATGTTCTGTAGTCATTCGTTTTCTGTCAGATTCCACATATAAATCTCGCGGATCTCTTCTGTCGCTGGACGATCTCTTTATGGACGGAGGCGGTGGTGCGCGTCGGCTCTCATCTAAACGCATCTGTTGCCTCTTCAATTCCAATCTTTCACGCTCAAGCTTTTCTCTTTCGAGCTTCTGCCGTTCACGCTCAAGTCGCAGTAACTCGGCTTTCTCTTGTTCGATCCGTTCTCTTTCTCGTCTTAATTTCTCTCGTTCTCTCTCTAAGCGCGCAGCTTCTTCTCGATGTCTACGTTCTATTTCTCGTTGACGTTCCATATCTTCTCGCCTTCTTCGCTCTTCCTCTCTGAGCATCCGTTCTCTTTCGCGCAATCTTTGTCGCTCACGTTCTTCCTGAAAATTCAAGATTTTCTGTTGTATAAATTCATCCTTACTACTAATAGTCTTATTTATATAAAAATAATCAATAAAAATATTTACTCTAATCTTCGCAAATGTAAGAACATCATCGCGCTTTCGTCGTTCACGACTCCGAGATCGACTATGAGATCGGTGATCTCTGTCCCAGGTACGAATCCGTTTCTCTTCTCGCCTTCCTCTCTCACTCTCCGGTTTCTTGCTAGTAGATTTTGTTGATCGAGAATCAGATTCTTTTGGTGGATCTTCTTTTTTGTCTTGCATTTCGATTTTTAACTTCAGCTCAGCATTTTCACTTTTGTCATCAGATTTTTTTGCTAAACAAACGTAATAAATATTTATTTATGAACTTATAAAAAAGATAAATAATACAATTTAATTTGGCAAGGTAAATTTTAAATAACAGAACGAAAGTTAGGCAATCTAATAATCTTCCTTTTTACTGAATTTATATATATATATATAAATATAAATTCGGAATCAATTATTTATATGGCGATTATTTTTACACTTACACACTTACAATGCAGCAGTTTAAAGCTATATAGCTAACTTTTCTTTCTTTAATACTCAACTTTATTATTTAATACTTAACTTAATATTTAACTTTTTTCTCTTTAATAAATCAATAATCAAATGAAATCGACAAATTTGAATTTACCTCCCTTTTCTATGGGGGGGAAGAAGAAAAGAATTATTAGACTTCTAAAGTCAAGTTTATCGAGTAGTTGCTAGTTTCTGTTCTGTTATTGTAAACAAAAAATTTTTTTCTCTTTATATAATTATTATTGTAAAGAAACAATACTTACTAGCATCCGATCCTTTCTCTTCAGATTCCTTCTTTGCTTCCTTTTCTTTTCTCTCATTCATATCGTGATCCTTTGGCTTTTCTTTCTCTTCTTTCTTCTCTGATTTACCATTAACAGTATCACGTTTACGTACATGACTTTGTTGTGTATCACCTTTTGCCTAAAAGAGAATTTATTTATATTTATATATTATTCTACATTGAAAATGCTGAATGTTAAAAAAGAAACTTTGTTTTAATCATGTCATAATCAAAACATTTACCTTCTCGACGGATATGACACGTCCATGAAGTTCAGTTCTATGCAAATGCTGTATACATTTCGCAGCGTCTTCGCTCGAAGACATAGTGACATAACCGTAGCATCTTGCTCCAGGAGTTCTTGCATTTGTCACTACTTTTGCGCCTATGACTTTGCCATACTTTGAAAAAATCTGTTTCAAATCGGTCGCACGAGTACTGGATGATAAACCGGATACCCATAAATTGCGACTGCTTGCATTGGTTGGATTGATCTGAGAGATTTTCTTATCTGCAAAAAATATTTTATAAATACTATAAAACATTTATATATTGTCAAAATTCTCCATAAATTTTTTAATTCTTGTTTTTTTGCAAAAAAAATATTATATTTAAAAGTAACTAAATAAATATGACTTACCTTTCTCTTCTCTCTTCTGATTCTTGTTGCTAAACTCCGCGCTGAAAGGAATAATACTATTATTATATCAGAAAATAAAAAATTGCAATAATTACAATTACAAATAATAAATTAATTAGGGCTATAATTCGTGAGGCTTAAAAAGTATCTCTGTAACTATGTTAAGGACATAAATTTGGCTAGCAACTTATTTTTAAGCGACACGATTTTTCCAAATTTTTTTTTAGGATGGTTTCACTCGTACACTATTTCGTATGTTATCAGTTTTATTTAGATTACTGGATGTGCATTCACTGTGTTCTTTGTTTATCCACTTTTGTCACTCATGCATAAGGAAATCGTGTCCATGTGACAACACTTATCAGCCCTAAATATCCACAAAAGGGTCATCTGTTGTTAGTTCTTCTGACAGGGTATCTCTTGCCATATTCAAGAGATAATATTTTTTTTTTTTTAGAACGCTTTTCTCTCTTTTTTTAGGGTAGTAGTATCTTCAGTAAGCAATAGGAATCACTTCTTGATAGTACGAGGACTTTAGCACGTTTTGCCAAATATAATTTATCATTTATCAAGATACTAATGTCCTTTGCATAGCGATGCACGATGAAATTGTAGCCACTCAATGAAACAAATAAATGTCCTTGTCATGTAAGAAACACACAGAGCTTGTCAGGTTTTTCTTGGTATAGAATACATGTAATTGTCTTTATTGAATATGCGGAGACAAATGTAAGCGACTTTCAAGAGACTAGTTTAAGTTTGCTAGCCAAGTTCTTGATTTCTTAACATACTTCCCAGAGTTAAGAATTACAGCCTACGGGGAGGACTTAGATTGGAAGAGTAACTTCCGAGATTCAATTTAAAAAAAGGGAATTTAACATAATCTTGCACGTGACGTGAGTGATCTCATCTTGTGAAATCCATTGTCCTGACGGTACAGAGAGAGAGAGATAGAGAGAGATCATCCCGACGATACGGTAATGCAGCAGTAGAACATCCCTAGCAGAGTTGTGAGCGACACATTTCCAGTTTGCTGTACCACAGTACTGCGAACCGTACTTCTTAGCTCTATGAGAGAGACCAACCTCTTGCTTCCTCCATCTCCTCCCTCCTGCTTGATCTTCGTCCCATTCGCACCAGATGTTGTCCCTTCCTTGCCACTGGCGCCAGGCTCCGCTCTACCACTGCCTTTCGAGTCTCCCTTCTTGTTGTTCTCTTCCATTTTCTTCTTCTCTCCACCATCTGCAGGGACAATCAAGGTAGCATAGTCACTTTTTGCGAAGCCCAGACTCTTCTCCCTCCCTCCTAACACCTTCTGCTTTAGTGGCTTGTGACTCCCAGTCAGGAATTTCGGCCAAGTTACTAATAAATTCACACAGCAAGCAACGATGTGGCTTGTACAGTATTACAAGCCACCGATCTTCGATAGTATCGATTTGATCCAGGAAACCTAAAGCTTTTTCGTCGATTTATTTCGGTACACACGTACGTGCGTGCGCACAAAGGTACATTCGCATTTTTATATTCATGAAATTATGATAGGAAAGTCAAATTGAAGAAGAAAAAAAAAAGAAAAAATGATAAAATGTGCTTATCGTTTTTGTGAATCTGCATTGTTTTAGGCCGATAAAGTGATTTTTGTGACAATCTACTATTTTCGCGCGCGGAAAACGTGCTCGAATGCGCGACAATAATTCGTTGAGAAGACACGACCGATTCGAAGATACTGGTCAAACCCCTATGTTGTGTGATAATTTATATTTTGTGGCAAATATTTGCTTGGCGTATACTTGAGTCTTCCTGTATCCATATGATTCGATGATAAGAGAATCCAACGATGCTCTATGTGGTAGGTAGAATTAATGTAATTGAATATCAAATTATAGCGTTAACTAACTTAAAGACTACGGGATATGGCTTGTTTGCTCGAACAGCAGCACAGGGATGTCGGGAGATGTACACTCTTTTATCCTGGTTGAAAACCTTATGATCACCATGTGTTTATCCAAATCGAAACGCCTTATCTGTCGCGCTTCAATGATACTACGCCATGTCTGTCATGCTAGGATTATGTCGCATCCAGATGTCGAAACAAAATTCACGATGATGAGGTTTGAAGACCGGAACTCATAGGAAGAAGTTGCAGATGATGACGTCCCGACGACGCCCTTGTTCCCGATGGTCATGCTAATGAGTTCTTGAAGACGCTTGCTCTTGATGCTGGCGCTTTAACTCTGGCTAACTTACTCGGAATGTCGCAGATACAAATATTGCTAGCCTTTTGATATTTATGTGGAATACTTACATCTAAGTTAAAATGATAATAAATAATGGCAAACTTACCCTTGTGCCTGTCATGAGATTCTGTCTGGAATGAGAAATATATGTATTAGAGGTAATACCAAACAATTTTTTCAATAAATTTAGAATAAAAATAAAAAATTAATTATATTCTCCAATTTCTCCAAAAATTATTTTCTTTTTCAAATCATACCTCCTCAGCGAGGAGATTCTCCTCATCTTCTCCGATAGTCAAGTTGATAGAATCTTCGTTGTCAATTCCGTTAGCTTCAACAGTAGTAGATGGCGTATCTGAGGTTTGACTAAGGACAGTCCTGTCTAACTCATTCTTCTTGTTGTTCTGTGCATTTTCATCTACAGTCTTGATTTCTTGCATTTTCTCTTCCTGTTTTTCCTCCTTACCAACATTCTTACGCTCAAACTCGGATTCCTAAATAAAAAAAAAATCAAAATCAATTATTAATTTTGAATAATAGATTCAATTCTATTAATTAAAATATTAATCTATATGCAATACCTCTTTCATTTCTCTCTTCATAATTTCTTTTTCATCATATCGTTCTAACTTTATTTCTACTTTAAATTTATCTATATTATCCTGTCCATCGATAATTTCTTCCTTCTGACTATCAGAGCACTCAACAGAATCTTCTTGATTCAAGGCTCCTATGAATAAAAAAGTTTAACACATGATAAAGATTTTTCATTTCGGTTTTGTTATAATTCATATATAATTTCTATATTAAAAGCTTTAATAATGATACATAGAAGTATATATACCACCATTTTTTCTTGGAACTTTAGATGGCCCACCAGATGGTATAATAAGATACTCCTCAGGATTTTTTCCCTCCTCCAATATTGCCTACAAATAATTTTTATTTCATATTTAAGTTCATAGATAAATAAGTTTTACCATTATTATTATGTAATATCACACAAATAAAGGGTATCGCGCTATCAAATAAAATTGCTTTTCTTCCTCGCCCAGTAGCGCGCTAATCAAATTGCGCAACTTCTCTCGAGCTGCGACGAGTTCGTCAGCACATTTTTAAGTAGGCGCGTTAGCCATTGGCAGAAGAGTGTTCTGCATGCTTACTCATACTCTAATATGCAATAGATTTTAATAAAAGATAAACCCTTCCGGCGATTATTCGATGGCCATACTCTACTATATGCAACAAGCACGCCGCTTCGAAATCGATAAGATCGACCGTGATAAACCGCCCTTGAAGCACAAGCAGCGTTCAAGCGTAAGAGGAAAAAAAAAAAAAAAAGAGGAATCACTTACCTTGGAGAGCCGTTCGAGAAGCGCCGCTTTATTGCCGGATTTATCCAGACCGCGACGTTCCAATTCCGTTTTCAGATCTATCACTCGTAGCTCGGTCAGCTTTTTCCCTTCCACATCGGCCATTGTACTCGATGTAAAGATGATCGTTCGCGAGATGTAACAGCAACGTACGATTGATACGTCTAACGCGTTCGAGTCCGATCGAAAATCACAATTTAGGAGCAACTGCGAAACCAAACGATTCGCACAGACAGAAAATCGCGATACGCAATAGAATTAATACACTCTTTACAAGACTCTACGACACCGAATCACCGTTTCGAAAGCGAACAAGAAGCCATTGCATCTGCCATCGAACACATTGAACTGCGTTCGGAAGAACGTGATCGAGTCTGTTCGTAGTACCTACGATGCTCACCGAGAAAGAAAAAACGAAGGACAAGAGATGCAGCGACTAAAAAGAACAGACATGCAGCTCATATCAGATTATACAAAAATGTACAAAATGTACAAAAATGTACAAAAATGAGAATATGTATATATAAATAAACATTTTCCATTTTTCATCCTTACTTTTTTATCCAAATTATTTTTAATTTTTAATTGTACATTTGTTTTTTTAAATTCTTTAAAATCTTGAAAAATGTATAGGAATAGTCCAAGGAATAAATCATGTAATTTTTCCTTAGAGGTGGAAAAGTGAAAAATGGAAAGTTTTAGATTTTTTTTAGAAGTTAAAAATATAAATTAAAATTAATCTACATTAGTAGAAATGAACTCAATTTATCTCAATTGATTGAATTCTAATGTTTAACAAAGTGTGATACTGACTTAATGTTTAAAGGTTCGTTCAGACGAGTTGTACCTTATCTCACTCTCCGCATATACAGATAAATCACATTGCAATTGTAAACAATGAGCGACAGCGATGATGATCCTCCGCGATTGAGCTCGAGCACGCTTGCTGCATTGGAGGAGTTTTTAAAGGAGAAGGAAGAGCGTGAGAATTTGTTGAAATCTCACATCTCTAAGGAAGATCAAATACCGAGTACTCCCTTCGATGAGGATTGGGTGAGTCAACGATAAAACAGCGCGACAGATTTTTTAATCTAGAAAAAAATTGACATGTAATTGATTATGTTACAGCAATTGAGTCAATTCTGGTACAATGACGAAACGATAGAGGCTTTTGTCAAAGGTGCTTTAAATTCCACGCCAAAAAATGGGAAGATCGCGCTGGTTTCTTGTCCGACGCTTTATACTAAGTTGAAAAAGGAATGTGGTGAACGGCAAAGTATGATTGATATCGCATATCCTAACTGTGTGTAACATTGGCCGATTAGTTTGCAAATATATCGTTTCTGTTACAGTTACACTGTTTGAGTATGATAGTCGTTTCAAGATATTTGGTACAGGCTTTGTACCATATGACTACAAGTTTCCTCTGGATGTGCCCAGAGATATGTCTAGTCAGTTCGATTTGGTTATAGCAGATCCACCGTTCCTCTCGGAGGAATGTCTAACCAAAACGGCAGTGACGATCAAATTTTTGACCAAGAAACACATTGTGCTCTGCACAGGTGTCTATAAAATCATGGTTTCTATTACAAACTTTTATTACATATTAATTCTGCATTAATGAAAACACAATTTTGTATGTAGGAGCTGTTATGGCGGAGTTAGCGGAGAGACTACTGGACGTCAAAAAGTGCGACTTTATTCCAGGCCACAAGAACAATTTAGCGAATGAATTTTATTGTTACTCAAATTTCAATTTCGACAAAGTTTTGAAATAGGATACAAACAGTATTTAACAGAGATATGTTTATATATTTATGATAAATATTAATAAATATTAATAAATATTAATATTTTTGTTTACACTTTTTAAAAAATGAATCTTTAGATGATTCTCCGAGATTGATGAATTCTCGTTATCATTTTTTTTATTATTCGTACATTTAAATTTATGGGGAAACAATTCGAAGGTTAGAAATATCGATATCGAATCACTCGAGTTCTCCAAGTCGATTCGGACGGGAAGGAAGTTCCTAGGTAGCGTGGTGCGGAGAGGGAGAAAAATCTCTAGGCAGTGTTTCGCTTCCGCGAACAAGTAGACACGCGATGGAAAGCGTAAATATTTACATCTCTTGAGTGTTCGTTTCGGCACATTTTTTTTTTAATTTGTACAATCATGATAGACGGAAACATCTCGATGGAGGAAGATACGGAATTGCGAGACCTGGTGGTACAGACCCTGGAAAGTAACGGCGTCCTCGCTAAGATACGGGTGCGTCCTGGGGGAGCTAGATTTCGCGGAGGAAAAGAAATGAAAAAAAAAAAAAAAAATATTAAAAAAGAAAATAAAAAAGATTCCGCGGTTTCTGTAGGTTAGGTGAATGTTTTTTCGGGGCAAGAAATGGAGTAAATATGAGAGCTTTGTACTTCGCGTCCTTCTTTTCTGCGCCAGCTTAATCTTGGTTTAATCCTCGTTTTTGTTATTCATAGGCGGAACTCAGGGCGAGCGTGTTTCTGGCACTCGAGGAACAGGATTCGGTTATGGTAAAGTATCCTTAGAGTACATCGCGATGAGGCATAAAAAGAAAGCTTTCTGTTTTCAATTCCTTGCGCTCTATTGGCTATAAGAGCTTTTTTTTATATAAAATAAACGTGGCAGGGTATCGTGTCGGTGAGCAACTCACCTTGACACTTGCATGTTATATTTATTATATCATAAAGTGAGAAAAACGGAAAGCTTTGCAATCTTTAAACACTATATGGTTATCATATAGTTCTTGTAAAAAATATTGTTCGTATATATCTACTTTCTAAGATCTGTCTGTAAAAATGTCTTCTAATTTTTAAATTTTTACGTCATTTTTATATTATTTCGAAATTTATATAAAAGAGGAAAAGGATGTGAAACTGGAAATGATTTAATAGACTTGAAATAAATGTTTCAGAATCCTGAGCCACTTCTCAACAAAACTGTAAAGCAGTACCTGTCTAATTCAGAAGGAAAATTATTGTTTTCCTTAGTTAGGGAGTTCCTAGAATACTTTGGTCTCGATTATACAATATCTGTATATGATCCAGAAACATACTTCGGGAAGGAGTATAACTATGTAGGGAGGAATAAATTATGCGAAGAATTAGGTATCGACTCAACCGAGCCATTGCTGGGAGAAATTCTGAAGAACAGTATCAATGGTGCCTTTAACAATTCACAGAAGGTATTTTTTTAATTAAATAATTGGCGTAGTTAATTGTAATGCAAGATATTTCATATTATTACAATAAGATTAAATATATCTTTTTACGTAGAACAAAAGCAGTAGCAGACACGACGAAACAGATGAAGCCTCAACGAATTTCGCAAACGCGACATTCGAAGTGTCTGTTCCCAAGATAATCCATACCGAATCTGTGTCGTCGTCAAACGACAATGATTCTTCTGAAAAATTAGACAGCATTTCCGAGCAGAGTCCAAAAGTTCCAATAAACGTGACAATAACGGACAAAAAATGCAAAGATCCGCCGATTGACACCGACGTTATGACAGATATGTCGGATTATGATAAGCGTCAATTTTCTCTCAGGGAGAGCACAACGGACACTGATGGAATTGAAGGTAACAGAAACAATAATGTAAATTTTGATAAAAAGAGCACCGCGAATCCACACAGCACATGCACGGCGACGAATGATGTGGCAAAGGAGACTGATAGTATCGTTACGTCTAATCAATTGAGTCCATTAAACAAATCCTTAATTAAGTTTGACGATTCTATAGTGATTGAGACGCAAGCAAATCAAAACGAGGATATAACTAAGCAAAACAATATAAATAGTTTGGAGCTAAGTATAGAGAATAATGTACAAAGTAAGAAACTGGTTAACGCGGGAAGCAACTTCGGAAAAACAATATATTTTGACGAGATTATCGTCGACGGTGAGCGGAAGAACGTTAGTACAATGAATAAAGCCGAGCCTTTTCTAGAAAGTTTGCCGACCATAAATCAGAAGGCTAATTCTGTATTTAGTGATTTACCACCACTTAATGGTAAAAAGGCCAACCTTAATGATCTGAAGGAATTAATGAATATTGGACTTGGTGAGTTATGAAAATTCATGTTTTGTTATTCATTTAATGCGGTATAAAAGGTTTGAAAAAATAATGAGCAATATATATATTTTTATAGCTGCAGATGGTATAGACAACTATGAGGAAGACTTTGTGTCGTCAGCATCGGGTAGCGCGAACGAACAAAGTCCTATTAAGGAGCCAGACAAGGTGGATAGTCTTCTCAAATTGCGAACGAAGAAAGAGGAAAAACTTCAAAGTACTGAAGACTTGAGCGAAGAAATCGAAGAAGTGGACGAAATCTTGAGTAGTACCTCTTGTGTAAGTAAACTGAACTTAAATTAACGCAAACGATGGCACTGTTACAACTGCAATTGCACATATTTTTCTCTCGCATTAAATTACGTAATTCTATATACATAGAATCGTTATATATTTTAGCTTGAAGATACAAATACGGATAAGAATATATCAAACTTTGCGACGGGTATTACCGCGGATTATACAGGAATGTAACTTTTAGTCATATGTAATAAAAGAAATATGTAATTTTTAATCGTATCGCTATACAGATCCTCTGTAAGAATTCTAGCGAGTTGTTCCTCTTATATGTACTCTTGATAAAGCCGATATCCTAGAGCGCCGCGGATATCTATGCCGACTACCGTGAGAATTCGGGAACTCGCAGAATTGAATTCATAGTTTCTGATAAAGGCACTGCCAAGCTGTGGCTCAATATTTATAAGTTGCGCTGCAAAGAAGAAAACGTAGAAGGAAAATGTCTGAATGAATATTTCCACAGATGACACGATATTTTTGTACGATTTGTAAAAATAAGGGATACTTTGAAACCATCATGGTTTGCAATAACAATGTGTATTGCGAACGATCGTCATCTTTTCCACAAATTTTATCTGAAATATTGCAAAATTTAGAAAAAGCAATATGGTTAATATTCTGCTATTAATAACCATAAATGAAGTACATCTTTTTATAATTTATATATCTCTCAGAAAAAACATCTCTCTCAGAAAAAAGAATCTTATCTCGATCATCCATCATAAAACTAACGAAACTAATATGTGAAAAAATATATGCAGAATTACATGAATTAGCGGTTGTACAATTGTGAAATCTGCAATAATTTTAAAGTTTTTACTTATATATTGAGAAAAAGAATAATACACATTGAATATTACGAAGTAAACCATTTCATTTAACTTCAGACAGAATACCTTCTACGTTATGTAAAAAATATACTAGTATTATATTACTCTTACAAACATATTACACAAGTGTTATAATTTAAATTTTAGAGACGAGTCAAAGAAGAACACACGAAGTTACTGCTCATTAGTAACTTAGTTACATTTCTCTGTCTTTTCTTTTTTTTAGGGATTCTCTATTAGCATTTTGTTGTGTTTATTGAAATATCTCTGCCCTTAATTTTTATGACTGAACATTGTCCATTACCTCATTTTACATAAAGTTACTGACATGATATTGTAACAATATCAGGAAATCATCCGTCTAGAAATGGATTGCCTAAAAAATCCATCAAATTATTTTTTCGAATGTAATGGTGCTAAGTGTTTGAAGCTAAAGTTATTTATGAGAGTTAACGTTATCTATGAAAAAAAGAAAAAAAAATTAGGTGCTTATATATTTTCTTGCATCCATGATTCGCAGGAAATTAGTGAAAGCTAGACTAGGATATTAATTTTTGAGTAATACAACTCGATTAAAAAGAAAGAAAGAAAATGGAAAGAAAACATTTAATATGAATATTTTATGCCCCCATATAAGATGCAATAACTAAGTACAACTCAAGATGGATCAACTAGATGCTTGACAAATCAAAATCTGTTCATAAAAATATGTAATATAGCCAGTCAGCTTTAACAAAAAAGATTTTCATTAACGGCTAGACTATGTTGTAATATTAAAATTTATATCCAGTTCGAACAAAGAAATTCCGTCACTTGTTATACAACTTTCAATTCTTCAAAATTGAATAATAGTTTATCATGCAGCAGTTTATCAGATGTTGAATGAAGAATAATCGAATACTGCGCTCAAATTGCAGTATTTCTTCACTTGTATAATGAGAGTTTATGAGTTTCTATCGGTTAAGTAAGGAAGTTTATTAGTCTCTTTTGTGATTTATTGCATTAATATTTTTAGCGCAATAAACATTTCTTCATCTTTACAAGAGAATCCCTTCATCTCAACGTTTCGTCCGCAATATACGCGGTAACGGAATCGCTTAGTTCGAACTGCCATTTATCCCGACATATATGTATATTAAAAAAACGAAGGAAAAAAAGAAGAAAAAGCAGGTGTGTTCCTGACCAATCAGCGTGGTTACATTCTATTATCGACATAGTAATCTTGACGACGGGATTCAGGACTGCATTGGAACATTCCTACGCTCTGTAGAATCTAGACGAGAGATAGATACATTCCAACGTTACACTAAGATAGATCGTACTTTTTTTCGTTACATCGTTACCATTAGCACGCATGTTTACAAAATAAGTGTATCTCTCATCGTAGACTGTAAGCGTATAATTTAAGAATCGTCTTTTTTTGTATCTGCCGCAAGAACACGTGGCTACAGGTTTCACTTTCGAAGCGACGGAAAAGTTCGTGGGATCGATTGCAAATTGATCGCGCGATATATTTCTATGAAGTCTAAGATGGCAAGTTTGGAGTTATACGTGTCTCTTGATTTTTCTTCTTCGTATGTTTGTATCGTAGATATATCTAGAGAACGCATAAAACCTGTAAAACCTACGGATCATCTTCGCGAGATGCTACCGAGATATAAACTATTTGTCTCGTAATGCTTTTGAATGTATTTTTACTGTATTTTTACTATTCAAGATTGTATTTGATCTGCTATTTGCTCTTTTTTTTTATATAATTGTTGTTTGACGCAGCTTTTGTGAGAGGAACATATCCAACGCAAGATAGTTAATTTAATTTTAAATCAAGTAATAATTTTATTATGAAAAATATATGTACATATATAACACAATGATGTTTAAATGCAAATTTTCATGAAGAGACAAGCTCGATATTTTCAGAATAGATAGCCATAAATGATTATACCATCAGTTATTCATGATTCATAGTTTGAAATTTCATAAATGAGCCATTGATAACAATAGGAATAACAGCTTGCTTTACTGGTACTTCTTCACACGGTCGCAGATAATTATTTTGTAACCACGTTGAAACATTGGTAGCTATACCGTGCCTTTTAGTGTGTATGAAATAATTAAGAATGCAAATAATAAAAAAAAGTACTGTGGAATTGTGGGTTTTACAAAACACCTATGTTACTTATTTATGATTTTCAAGTATGATGTAATAATATGTATTCATGTATATGTTATTTATTTTATAAAGATTTTTCTCTTTTGCAATCATCGTCTACTTTCTTTTTCATCACTCCCTATAGATATCCCTATAGACACAATATGCTCTTTGCAGCATTAAACCAAGTATTTATCTCCATATGAAACCATATATATATAATAATAAGTGAGTGTTTATACTTTCAAGGGCACTACATTATATGCTGTTGAATCATCTCATACATTATTTACAATGATAATGTATTAAATTCCATTAGTAAGAAAAGTATAAATGTCAAGTATAAATATCAAGATATGATATATTTTACTGGCCATGTACAAAAAATGCATTTTCATATTATTAAAGAATACTATACTGTTATGGTGCTATTAAATTACAATGTGGATAACAAATAACAATATATTTCCACAAATTTCTATATTTACATTCTGTTGCGTTCTCTTTGGAGTCGTTCACTATATGTTTTTGATACAAGGTTAAATGAGTCCATGTAGCGATCCATGCACATTGCTATACATTTCTGTAAATAAATCACTCAATCAATTAAATAGAAAAACTAAAAGGAACTTAATTGAAAATTAAATAAAAAATTAAATATGAAACTAATAAAAATGTATATTTTAAGATAAATTCTTCAAGATAGCTTTATCGTTGTAGAATCTTTTTCATTCAAAACTTATATATATTAACTTATAGTTCAATCATAATTTTAGAAAGTTTGGAATATAGAAAATTGAATCTTGTCTATTTCTATGAATGTAGATAAATTTTAATCTCGATTAGACTTTTCATCTTTTTTTAAGTTTTAAGAATAAAAAAAATAAAGAGTAAATTAAACTGATAGAATTGGATATGAAGCGTTTTTATTTCAATTTCAAGGTTAGATTAAGCACAATTTACCTGTTCCGAGCTGTCCAGCGAGGTACCCGGTTTGCCTATGCACTTTTTAAAACATTTTTCCGTCATTTTCTGCAAATATGCATAAAAACCTGTAACTTCGAGTCATAGCTAAAGTCAGCTAATAGCAAAAGCTATATAATACCGTGAGCAATTCCTGGGCATTGGCGACCGCTATTTGTTGCTTCACTTGCTGCATCAACTCGTCTCGCTGCGAACCAGTTAAATTTCCCGTCGCTAATGACTCCATTTTCGAAACTCTCGGGTTATTATCTGTGTGTGGACTATCAAAATTTAAAAACTCGCAAATTCAATCGCTTGCCCACGAGCACCCGACCATAAATCGCATCTAACCTCGCCGGTCGCGTGCGTGAAGATGGGACCACGTGAAATCTGCCGTAAAGGCCGCACAAAAAATTTAAGTAGTAAGACGTAAGGAGTAAGGAAATTGACCAATTACATTCGATTATGGTCGAAGAATAATTGTCTGTGATTGGTAAATTTTCTTACTACTTACGTTTTACTACTTAAGTTTTTTTTTTTTTAGTGCAAAAGCCTTATGTCCTGTTCGCAAAAAACGAAGCTCCTGCAGGTTGTATCGCTATTTTTCACGAATCTTCATTTTTCACGAATATGTAATCTATTTTTATGCCTTGTATCCACGATGCTAGAAATCGATCCGAGATCTCGGATGGAAAGAGAATTGACCAATCGTATTAGTCAATTAGCCGAATTATTCAAATGTAATTGGTCAATTCTCTTTTCAGCCGAGATCTCGGATCGATTTCTAGCCTCATAGATACAAGACATTATAGCCGACCTATACTCGTTGTTACATACTTAAAACGAAATAGATACATATTTGAAGTTTGACAAAAGCAAGATAGAAAATTTAGTGCAGGAACAGAAAACTATGATTGGTTCACGCTAATTCCGCAACTTGCAACCAATTACGTCGCATAAATTGACTGACCATCTCGTGAAAATTTTCGATTCGAGTGGCCGATATCTGTAAAAAATCGACCATTCAATTTTAAACGTGGCGAATATTTGAGAGTATTAGAGAAAAGCGTTTACGTGGAAAATTGAAACAAATTATTGAAACTGATAACAATGAAGAAAAAAAGAATAATGAAGAAGACAAAAAAGGTAAATTCGCGCAATTGATGCTGATATATATCGAATATATTTATATTTCATATCTTTACAGACATCCAAAAAGTTGAAATCTAATTGTAAGAGTCAAAGCGAGAGACAAATATTTCTTCATAGATTGCAACAAGCAGTAGAGGAATTTTGTAGTAAAAATAATAATTTGGATGACCCAGGTGAGTTTAGGAAGAAAATGTTTACAAATAATTTCGTATATTCATATCAGTTTCCAAATAATTAGAATTAAATTATTTTAGATTGCGAGTTGCTATACGCGAGAACTATGGAACATTCATTTTCGAAAAGAGATCCTAAATCTTTTCAAAACGACTACAATGAAAACCCGCGCGATAATTACATGTGCTATCGTTGTAAACATTTCCTCGAGATACCACATAATTTGTCTCAGTTGTTTTGCAACAAAATGGCCATTACTTTTGCCAAACAATATAAGATCGAGTTGAGTTTTGTTCAGGCTATTGTCTGGTTGAAGTTTTTTTTGCCTGTGGCTCATCTCAAATATCAGTCGAACGATTGCAACAGATATTTAACGAACAATGGAATAGACATGATAAATGTAATTATTACAAAGATAAACATAGTGATGACGATCATGTTGAAAAATTAATACCTGTGATTAAAAACTTATCGATGAGAAATAATTTTAGAACGTCAACTCCTATAAATATTAATATATCACACCTTGATACATTTCAAAAAGAGATCTTACATGCTAGAGCTGAAAATATGCAGAGTAATTTATTAGAACCTGTCTTGACAAACAGTATGAATGAGTCGTTTGTAGAAATGACTTTGATGCTCGAAGACGATAGCAGCTCTTGCATCACGGCAGATAAAAAGGGAACAGAAATTTTGGAATCCAGTATAAATTTAGATTCAGAAAAAAATTTATTTCGAGGATTTGATTTAATTTCGAAAGAAAATTTCGACATGGATGATCGGATACCTGAACATCAATGTTTCGAATTTGAAGAAAACATATATGATTCAGTGCAAACTGCATCAAAAAATATCGATCAAATAAATCAAGAAGTAGACGAAGAAGAAGAAGAAAAAGATATATTCTTTACTCAAAAAAATACTAATGTTTTGAGTAAACATGAATCTACTTTATCAATAGGAAACAAATTTATCACGCCAATGTCCGTAACTTCGGAATATAATTTTGAGGAAGAATGTTTTACTCCATTGGGAAATCGGAGCAACTTCCAGCCTGATAAGACATCGAAATTTGATGATAGTTTAAAAAGTTATAATATAACTCAAAAAAATATCACTCAAATGTCAGATTTGAGTACCAATTTCGAATTTCTACTCGACAATAATAATTCTTGGGAGAAATCTCTAGACAATATCATAACTGAAGATTCGAAAAAGGATAGCGCATACAGTACATTGCATATGGACATGGAATTCAAAACCGACAATAAGCGTACATTGAATACCGAATGTTATTATGAATCACAATCTTGCCAAAAAGATATAATGTACATGGGAGAAAATAAAAGTACTGAACCTCAGAATAACAAAAATCTTCGGGAAACGAGCGATACCATTTTTGAAAATCCTAAAGACGATGTTCCAGCGAAATTTATCATCGGTAATAAGCACACATCAAATATCGAACATTCTTCTAAACAGCAATCCTACAGATTGACAATTACATGCGAGAAAACAGTGGCTTCTCCTTCTATAATACAAGGAGTTGAAATATCAGACACAAAACGTTATAATTTGCGACCTCGTATTAAGAAAAGTTACTCATCCCTTTTTACAACAAAGAGGCGGAAAGAACCTAAATCAAAAGTGTTAAATCAAGAGAAGAAAGAGAAAAAAGAACATGAGGATGAAATGATTCCTTCTAATTGGTGGAGCTTGACTTTGGAATCATTACATATGGAACGGATGGTTCTTGCCTCGATTCAAGTGATTATATCGACGCTTTGTGATAAAAAAACGACGAAGAAATATACGATACGTGATTATTGGAAAGATAGTTTAGAAGAACAAGCAATAAACGCAGTATTGAATATATCGGATATTTTTACAATTGAAAAGAAACCTAATATATGCGTAAAAGAAATTGTAATGACAATAATCAAAGTTTTAGATGAGATGATGATGGATGTACAATTAAATAAAATATACTACTCTCAGGTATAAATTACATACATTTTTTTATATTTATAAATATTACATTAAATAAATACATAGCCTAGTATATATTGACAATTTATAAAAAATATGCGTATGAATAAAATATATAAATATTTATATATATATATATATACATATATATATGGTATTTTATATATTTTATACATATAATATAAAAATATTACTAGACACTTTAATTATTTAAAATAACTGTAATTATATATTATAATATTATACGATAAATAATTTTTTTTCTAGACATTCGTGTGGATATATCGAATACAAATAATGCTGGAATTTTGTAATTCATTGCCAGTATGTGTCAAGATAATCGATCATTTGATAACAAATTAAAATTGCTTCAGTCGAAGCTGATCGCTATAAAAGAAATACTTCAGAGGAATACCTGCGTCTTGATAAATCAATTGTATCTTGCGTTTTACTCGTTAAACATTACTCTACGAAAATATCGTGCGATTATACCAAGCGATCAAAGATCTCGACCTGCGGAAAGATCGATATGCCATGTCGCTGATCTTTGGAAGATACACTATATCGAAAAAGAACTTGATCATGCAGATTTAAACCTGAATGTTGCGGAGAAACGATGGTTAAATGCTTTAGAAAACAGCGCGGTAGTTTTCACGGAGCATTTTTTCGTGTCTTTCGCCGAAAAGTCGTTTTCACTCATCCGTGTGCTAATTTCGCAATCTAGCACGAGGATAACATAATGTTATTAATGTTCGAATCTACAAATCGCCGTATTAGAGTTATGTTTAATTATTATACGTTTTTTCTTCTTAACATAAAAATTAAGTTATGCTTAAAAATAAAAAACATATTCGCTTTAGTTACCATGTAAAATTTCATTATATACATGCTTTAAAAAGGTAAAACTGCAAAAAATAATAACATTAAAACAAATATTAAATTCTTGTTGTGATACGAAATAGATCCATTGTACGAAGAATTAGATTCGTTAGTCTCTTTTGAATTTTTCGTTTCTGATAAGCTTTCAGACCATCTACATAAAGATTGTGAATTTTCGGGTATTAAATCGAAAGTGGCGTTTACTAAAGTCTGTAGTGGACATATCTTTGTGCAATTTGGTAGCGAAAGAACGATTACGTCCTCATTAATATAATAGTTAATCTGAAATTATTTCAGTATTGTTTAAATTTTAATAACTATAGTTCTGGAATATTTTTTCCTTCTTAGATAATAATAATTAACACTTAAATTGATTAGATATTGAAAATAAAAATGTTACCTTCATTCCATATGTATTCGTATTGTTATCAAAATAAAGTTCAAATATCAATGCTGCCTCGTTGGGGACGTGAGGTGACCAGAGATCAAGATTCTTCAAAACTCCAACGATGTTCCTAACATTGCCGCTGTATAACATTATTTTCCTTTCTTTCGGTATGTCGTCTGTTATATATTTTAACGAATTGCCAATAATCTCTTTTAAGAAAGTTCCGCCATTTAATTGTTTTTGCAGCAGACTCGCCGAAAGAAGATCGTATTCCAACAAGGTGACGTTGTACATTACACCATCGGGAAACAAGTCGATTGCCCAATTGGGTAACATTTCGTTTCGGTCAGCCTGATTTTTATTATTGCAAACAAAATTTTTACATTAGAATGCAATTGACAAAAACAAAGTTTAATTTCGTATCAATATCTTTAAGAAATTTAACAAATTTATAAAAGAAAAGAAAGAGAACTTTATTTTTATTTAGAGAGATTTAAATAATTATTTCTCAGAAGATAGCATAAAAACATTCTAATCTATTAAAAAACACTTTTGTTTTATCTTTGATTTTAGACTTACCATTGTTTCTAAAGTAGCATACAAGAGAGCTACGTCCGATGGGGTGCTAATATTTCTTTCAGTAACTTTAGAAAGATAATCAAATAAAGATTGATACTGCATTAATATCTTTTGCGTTTCGGTCGTTTGCAATACCTGATTCATCTGTGACACAAAATTCGGACACAAAGAACCGACCAACAACGTGTCCTCCTCCAGTTTTACATAGTCTGCAAGAAATTGTTGCTGTTATGTTACAAAAAAAAAATAAACATAACTTTTACAAAATGTTTTAATTAAAATTGTTTGTTTAAAATTGTTAATTAAAATTGTTTAATGAAATCTGTATTCCGAATATCAAGCTTGCGATTAAGTTTTGTAAAATAATTTTCTAAAATATATTTAGAAAAAGAGCATTTGAAAATAATTTTGCGGATTATACATTTATTTCGATTTGAAAAAATAACATTCTATGTATTATTAAAGAGAAATAATTTTATCGCTTTACCGACCAAATGGTATTGGCTGCCAATTGAGACCTTCAATCCACATTTGATTTTCTTTGGGGGGCCATAAGCCCGCATTAACAAGTTGGGCCGATAAGATCGACAAAGTATTCTCCGTTGTACGTGTCCTCATAATATTGTCCGTATACGTATCGCCTAAAAATTCATCGTACACCTGGCGTAAATACGTTCCGAAATTGTATATGTCAAACTCGGCATTCTGTTTAATCGAAAGACATCATACGTCAGTCAGATCAGAAACAATATAATAATAATAATAATAATAATAATAATAATAATAATATTATGTCACAACATGTACCACTGGTATATTCATCGTGGCGGAAATAAAGGATTCATACGATAAAGTTTCCGGGATGCTGGTTTCGTTCGTTTCCGCATCGTCTTTCCACGGGGCGTACAGCTTATGTGCAAATAACTGTTAACCAGTACAACGGTTATCATCATCATACTTTTTATATATTAAATTGCATAAATATGTACTCACAACTTGCACAAATTTTAAATCTGGCGTAGCTAAACTGGGATGTGCGTAAAAGCATAATGCGAGAATGATGCTGATAAAACGTAGCCCGGCCATTTTTCTTCGGGAGATATAAGATATACAGTACTTCAACAGCAAATATCAATACAAATCTGACAACAGGTCTGATAGAATTAGAAGCGAAGAGAGAAAAGACAGGCAAAGGTCCAAGTTGTTTGTCAACAATAACGAATATATGGCGAATATGACGGCATAATATTTAGGATTGTGTGAGAAACTTCTATTTCATTTTACTTTATAAAAAATATTTTTATTTTGAATGAAGAGGCGTGCAGATATAGAAAGAAGTATAATAGAAATATTAAATTTTAGTGCATACTATGCAAGTGATCATACAACTCGAGATAAAAAAATTTTCCTTATTTCTATCTACATCCGCAAAGACAATTGGTCTGCCACAACACTTCCGAAACCACTTGTGTGTGCCCGCGTGTGACTGATAAATATTAGATTTATGTTATCTGAATGTACAGTTAATGAATGAACAGACATGTCGCCGACAGGACGACAATTCGTGCTCACTTTTTTGCCTTCTTTATCTAATCTAGTCACCGCGATAGGATTTGATTAGCTACATATGGAATTTTGCACATCGCTGATTTATTAACTTCTTTGAAATCTGAATACTTTGTTCTTTTCTTATCTGATTGTCAATTGATATCAGAGATGGAGCACTTTTTTGCTGTTAGCTTATTCACGTTACATAAAAAAAATTATCTTATAATCACACTCAAAAATAATCACACAAATCTAGTAATTATGCTCTAAGAATTATTGATAACAAATTTTTATTACGTCAGATTACAAACACACAACCCCGTGAAATTAACTTTAAAAATAAATATAAAAGAAAAAAAGACTATATAAATTAGAAAACTAAAATTTGTAAGAAAATTGATTGCCTGAAAACTTCAGTTCGGAATTACTAAGCACTTTTTTGTTTAGCCCCGATTTGAGTAATACTTTTTCTCCAAGACTCACTTTTCGATTCTTCGCGTTTCTTCTTCTCAGGGAAACTGAATAAATACTCTGTACAATTACCATGAACAATTTTACTTGGTTATCTCATATTACCTGATCTCTTTTACGTTTGTACAATGATAACAACAGATACTCGACGAAAACTAATTAGAATTACATTTGGAAATTTATTCGGCAAATTATTGAATAGTAACACTGATCTATCTAAAAAATTTAAAAGCATACTTCATTAAATGATGGAAAACAGTCAAATATTAGAGCTAATTTCAAAAGTATATATAAAGCAAATAAATAATTTCATTATTCTATTATAATAAAGCTCATAATAAATAAAAGAAATAAAAAGCACATAATTTTTAAGTAATAAAATACAAAACTTATATATAATATTTAGATATTAGCATGTTATATTAACATTCAAAATTAACACTAAAAAAATTATTATTATTAATTAACTAAAATGTCAAAAATTTAATAATAAAATTTTTTTAGTATTTTTATTAAAAACAATTTCGCAAAATGTAAGTTGTTGTAACACTTGTGAGTTTGATAAACATCATGCGTCTCGCTCGTGGTCTTGATAATTATTAATATTCTCGTGAGTACAAAGTGACTGTGTAAAGTTTACGCAAGAAAAATTTTATAAAATTTCGATGCTTCTTGGAAAAAAACATCGTACAATCGTTAAATTGATTTACTTATATTAGATATAAACATTTTTCGATTTAGTAATTATATTAAATTCAAAATTTAATTCTGAATCGTTATCAATTATACAGCACTGTCGATAAAATTGATAAAAAATTATGCAATTTACGCATCTGTTTATATATCGACGATATGTGTGTGTGTGTGTGTGTGTGTGTGTGTGTGTGTGTGTGTGTGTGTGTGTGTGTGTGTGTGTGTGTGTGTGTGTGTGCGTGTGCGTGTGCGTGTGCGTGTGCGCGCGCGCGCGCGCGTGTGTGTGTGTGTGTGCGTGTGCGTGTGCGCGTGCGTGCGTGCGTGTGTGTGTGTGTGTGTGTAGACTAGATATATCACTTCTGATATTTTCTGTTAGTTTGTAATCCATGCTTATCACACATGGCATACGCAATCTTATCGATTATAGCAAGTGTAAAAAAACGTGATCGTTGACGATGATACATGTTAATTACGATGATAGTGCCATGATTATATAGCGTATATCACGAAAAAGCTAATGATAAGACGTAATTAAAGTTTGCCCTGAAAAATAATTTTGATATTAAAAATTTAGACACTCATGATAATGTCGTCTGCACGTTACAAGAGTATTTTATTTTTGTCGATAAAATATTGTGATTATTATTTTTTTGACTTTTGTGTCAATGTTTACATGACTTATAGAAATCACGCTATAATATCGGCATATAAAAACAAATAATATGATTTCAAAAAGGAATATAAAGAAAATATTACGATTTATTTAGCTTGGTATTTTAATATTTAAATAATGATATAAATAGCTAAATTTGGAATAATAAATTTGGAATGATAATGTTTCCATTATCTCCAAAACTTATTACTTTGTAATATCAGACACAAATTTTATTTTAAATATATGAGTACACTGAACAGTGAACATTATAGAAGCAAACACAGATCATTCAGTCATCATTCATTAATTATTATTATAAACGTTGAACGTAATGGCACTTGTGATAATAAAAAGTTGCGTCATTGGCAGTATATTAGAAGCAAAATTGGAGCTTAATTGATTCGTTAAATATTATTAATCATGATTAATTGTGATTACAATCAGCAGCGGAGTGATGAGATCAAAACCAACAAGTATGATATAACAGAGAAAGTTATTTTCATTCAGAATAATCCATGAGCGAATAAAAGAGAATATTAAGATAAAATAAAAAATTTCGTCTACTTGTTTCATTACGATCATATGGTCATTGTAGTTTCAGCATTAAAATTCAACTGTATCAAATATTAAATTTTACACTAGTTAAGCGATTATACTCAGATAATTACTTGCCGCTTAACGTATGATATTACGTCAGAATGATATCGGGGAAAAGCCGTGGGAGCCTTAAAATCACTGAATCATTTAATCGGATATCCCCGATTTGTGTAACTCGACAAATGATCTTTCCGCCTCTGTTTCCACCACGAGAATTATTTCGCAGAAAATCGCCTATATCAAATTAGTTTACGATTTCTATCATTATGTCTATTCTATCATGACAAAATAATTAATCTACATTAACTATAAAATTTATATAAAAAAAGTTAAAGTAAACCTGAAAGTGCGATGATTTTTAGACACGAAATCTCATCTCAACTATCGTTTGCACAACCTTTTTATGTTTCTGTATTCGATTCGTAATATGATATCTATTATTAGTACATAAATTAATTTTTATAGATAATTAGTTAGATTTAAGATTACAAAAAATAATAATTAAATCGTTTTACAATAATTATTTATATATTCATTTAGATCTTTATTTAGATTGATCAATTTTTTATTCTGTATTCTTAAACATTTATGGTTTTGTTCTTTTTATTCTTTTCTAAAATAATATCGATATTATAATTAATAACTTTTTATGCGCATGAATGCAATTGACTATCTATTATATTCATGGATCGTAATAATTATCTTATCTTTACGTTATCTTTACGTCGTAGTAAGCTTTACATATTTATAAGAATGTGTTATCTAAAACTTTTTCTCTCATAATGCGTTTACGACCTACTTTAGTGATAAAAAAAATACACCCTATACTTTTGTAAATATGTCACGTATGTTTTCTGAATATTTTTTAAATATTTTGTAAATATTTGCATATGTAAAATACGAAAAATCAAGATATAATTATCGTATTCGTATTATGTGACTAGCGTAATCTCTTTATCTGTTTTATGACCTTCTACCATCCGAAGCTATTTTTCTTGATATCAGATTAATCTTTCTTTAACAATCATTGTTTTGTGATGATTATTTGTTAATTAAGCGTCTTATTTATTCGATGATAGATATTATCAATAAATCTATTATTAGCTTGTATGATTACTAAACATGACATTGTTAAAAAGAACTTGCAAATTCTCTTCAAAACTATTACCTTAGTACTTTGCAAAAATAATTGCACATTGATGCAATTTTCACATTTTTTTTTTTAATGTACGTACGATGAACAAAAACTCGAATTGTTATGATTACGTTACATAACATCGATTGAATTTTATTACATTCTTTACATGAGCAAAGGAATCTCAAGAAAATTATATAAATGTTGTGTGATGCGTTTCATACACATTTTGCGCATTATGTAATATTGAGTAATTTTTCTTCAAGGTAACCAGAAAGAACATCTCGTTATATAATTTATTTCTAAATTTATAATAAAATTTTATCTTGATATTCGCAAAGAAAAGAAATTTTTTAATTTTTCTTTTTTATAATATTAATTACATTTTATTGAATTTTTTGAACATTTATTTATTCGATATGTGGATACGTAATCCACACGGTAATTTAAGAACAGCGTGATGCAAATTATATAGGAGCAGGCCTACAATTTGCTCGAATTGTTCTGATGGATATTCCACTTGCTTGGCATTCTTAAAACACTAGTAAGATTTCCGCATAATTCGTAGCAAAACTTTATTCAATTCTTGACGCACTTCTTTTTTTCACTGCTCGCGATTAGCTCGCGGTGGAATATTTCATGATCAGGAAAATCCTGCAATCTATCACAAATCTCCTATTATCTTGCAATTAATTATTATTAGTATTGTATAAAATATTATTATTAGTATTGTATAAAAATATTAGTATTATTATTAGTATTGTATAAAAATATAAGAATTTTAAAAATAATTTTTGTTAATTGAAAAATAAATTTAATGGAATTTCAGGAAAGAGAGCTTCATAGAAAGAGAGCTTTTCCTAACAAGAGCACATGCTTTATAATGTCCAGGACATAAAATGACTCGAACAGGAAGTAAAATATGGTGGGGTGTACATTCCTGTATCTTAAAAGTCTTACGTACTGTCAGAAAAAGTCAGTATTCAATTAATCCTTCACGTCGGTAGTTCGATAAATCCTTTTGATTCAGATTTAATTGTTGATTGGCCGATAAAACACTGAAGATAATAATCTCGCAGATTTTCAAAAAAAGTCGTCCGATTAACATCGCCGGTATATATTATACATATCTGTGTCAATTTTAACAATTTTTAAACATTTTGAAGGAAATAATTATTAACATAATAGAAGTTTTAAGCTGAAAGTAATAGTTATGATTAATTATAATAATCATAAAAATAATATCTTTTGGTAATGATTAAATTTATATTGAAACAAGTTATTTACATTTTAAATAATTGTATATAATATACTTATTACATACAATTATTACATGGATAAATGTATATTAAAATAAATATTTTTTTAAATTTATGTCTTATTAAATAATATTTATGAATACTGGCAAATTTATATGTGTTGAGATATATAGTATAGATTTAAAATGCAAACATAAAAACATTACAATCATTGTATCAAGAATTTTACTATATATATGTGTGTGTGTGTGTGTGTGTGTGTGTGTGTGTATGTAAATATAAATATATTTATTTATTAGATGCGTTAGAATCAGAAATAAATAATATCAATTTTATGTATATTATTTTATATTTATTTCTGCATTTCTACAGAAGATTGATGTTTATCAGTTTATTCAGTTTATTGTTTGGATTAAGCATGAATGTGAAACCTTAAATGTAAAAGTTTTAAAATTAGGTGCTTAAAGAATTTTTTAAGTCTGTTTACATGAAATTTATCTTTGTTAATTTATTATGATTAAGACATTTAATCGGGCAATGTTTACAAACCAACTATATAAGCATAGTTATCATTTCAATGGCATTACATTTTCAGACTAGATATAATCAAAATGATTTGGTTTCATATTTTTGACAATTACTTAACAATCCTTCTCATCAGTTTAAACACAATGTTGATCACAGCTGAATATCCTGAACTTAAATTAGTTAATGTGGTAAGTAATATTGTTATTGATAACTAAACATAATTTTATATATATATATGCACAAATTTTTTTCTCTCTGTCTTTTCTCCTCATTTTCTTTAAAATTTAACTTATTTTAAGTTACTTTAATTATGTTAGCATTTGTTATATTTTATTAATTATTTTTATTCATATTTTTGCAGGTATTTAGACATGGTGATCGAACGCCCGAAAAAAATGAAATGTTTCCATACGATCCATATGTAAACTTTTCTTTTTATCCGACAGGTCTCGGGCAATTGACTGCGGTAAGTACAGCATCCAAGATATCATTCAGAATAAAATATCAAGCCTCCATAAATAAAAATAAAAAACTAAAAAAAAGAATTTAAAACAAACTAATTGATCGGATTTATATAAACTTTTTTAGGAGGGCAAGAAACGCGAATATACATTGGGAAAATTTTTACGATTTAGATATAACGATTTCCTTGGCAATTTGTACACGCCAAAACTCGTCGTAGGTCGTAGCACGGATTTTGATAGAACAAAAATGTCTCTGCAACTTGTTCTTGCCGGCTTGTTTCCACCGAAAAGTTTACAACGATGGCATACTTCCTTAAATTGGCAACCAATTACAACATCGTACATACCACGTGTCGACGACAATCTCTTTTTAGCCGATGAATGTCCGCAGTAAGTATAACAACAAACATAAATGGCGAATGAGAAATTCATCTGTAAATTAATAATATCAATATTTTTTTAGCTTTTGATATTAAAGAAATATTTAAAAGATAAAAAAAGCGTAACTTAATCTATTTAATAAAATTATTTTCAGATTTCTCGAAGAATACAATCGAATATTGAACTCACCCGAGGGACGAGAAAAGCTCGATCAATTTAAAGATTTGATGAACGATTTGACAAAACTAACCGGCATGAGAGTTGAGACAATAGATGATCTTTTCAGTCTTTATCAAACTTTCTTATCAGAGTCTTCTATGGGATTGCTTCTTCCCGAATGGGCGTACAGCTATTTTCCTTATGGTCCATTGCTCGATGGGATGGTAGCTGTATACAATATCAATAATTTCACTCCTTTGTCGATGAGATTAAATGCAGGTAAGTTATATTTATTATAACATTTATTAAATAATATATAATATTTATTAAATTTATAATAATATCATATCTATTATATTTATTTTCCAATAGCGATTCCAACAAAAATGTTGTTGTTTAATAATATAAAAGTATGATGAATGTTAAAGAAAAGAAAATACATATATTAATTTTAACGATAAAAATTACAATTTTATTTGAAATCTTGTTATTATAATATAATTTTTATTACAAAAAAGTTTTGCATTATTTTAGGTCCAATGGTTCGAGATATCACGGACAATATGATAGCTGCACAAAATCCAATCGCTGCGCCGAATACAAAAATGTATTTGTACAGTGGCCACGAAACCAATGTTGCAAATATGTTGCATGCGCTCGGCGTGTACAAACCGCATGTACCAGAATATTCTAGTGCGGTTATCCTAGAATTGCAGCGAATTGGGGAAAACTATTACGTAAAGGTAAAAATGTTATCAAGCTGCTTCATTTAATTACGACCGAAGAAATAATATAGATTTTATTTATTTACTTTGCATAACACATCTTTGCAGATTTTATATTATCAAGGGATCCCACCGTCTCTCAAAGAACTCAAGATTCCAGGTTGTGACATATTGTGTCCTTTCGATCAGTATCTGGAATTTATTGAAGACGTGATACCGTCGGATGAAGAAATGTTTTGTGACAAAAGACAAACTCCACGGTTCGTTCACGAGGAATATCCTGCTGGTTTGCAGCATATAATATACAATTTAATTAAGAAATCAAAAATTGAAGGAAGCATAACGCAGCGATAACGCATAACGCGAGTATCACGCTTATTGGCGTGTCGAGAAAATTGCTAACGACCATATTCACTTTATACTATGAATATCGCGATAAGATTTTTTTCTAAGGAATCGTCTTTTATCATGCTTATTTATTCAATCGCTATTAGACGGAACAATTACGCGAACATTACTTAGAGTTCATTAAATCATATTTATATGATCCTATGTAAAATATGTATAAAATAAGAAATTTAAATATTAATAGCTTCTTTTGAATTATGAATAACTTTTTTAAAATTAATTTTTCAAATTTTGCATTTCTTTTCATTCTTTTGTGTTCATATAATATACTCGTTAATTTGATTTATTTTGTTTAAAAAAAAGTTGTTTATATAAATTATATGCATATTTATTTTTTCAAGTTTAAATACAATATAAAATACAAATAAATAAAAAGTACACTCAAACTATATGTATAAAATAACTACATAAAGATATAAAATTAGTTTATTAAATAAAAAGTATAATGTTTTGAAAAAAATATCATGAATTATATCAATTCCTTTATCCAAATTTACTTTTTCCTATCATGACTCATAAAATTATTTCTTTTATATCTCTTTTATCTCCAAAATTATTTTTAGTTTACCTTCAATTCCCAGAGAACATTTAATTAACATTTATCATCAATCGTTTCATTTTTTTAAAAATATAATTATACTGATATATAAAATAATATTTTAAATATTATTTTATACATCAGTATAATTATTACTTGGAATAAAATATAAGAACTATACTAGAACAAAATAATTTCTAATCGATATATGTAAATGTATATTACAATACAAATAAATATATAAAACTAATTTTCTTATAATTAGACATGTTTTATGTAATATTTAGTGCAAGAACCATTCATGAAGCTACTTATTACCATTAACACGTACAATAATTACGTCTCTAATAGACATGCGCTACGTTGCAATTTTGCGCTATTTTTTTAGTAGTGCGATAAACGTATCGTGAACATT